AAGTGTTATAAACTTAACGACCTGGCGAACTAGTTGACAATTGAAGTGAAGCACATCATCCAGTTAGGGCTAATCACAGATTAGGCTATATCAGGTACGTTAAACTTCTTCTTGCCGGACAGATGCTTCACAACAACGATTCTCATGAACGGATGTTTTTTATTAAGGCCGCGGCGTAMACGGTACAACATTTTCTTACAATACCATTACATGCAACCTGCTGACGACATCCTTACAACACGTATCCTGTGAATAGATCCTACTTCTTGTTTGCAACTGTTGTGTACGCCAATAAAAAGCTTGTACGATTTTAAGACATGTATTAAAATTGTACGACAATTGTGGCGCAATCACACCATATTTGGCTTCTTCTTCACATAATAGGGACATGAGAACTTTCTACGTATGCATAACACGTGTACATGCACAACCATATATATATATTATATATGTATTGAAGTCGTACGACAGATCCTCCTACATTTGCCCMTGATCATGTCTGCATCAATAGCGTCCGCCGAATTGGAACTGAGCTRCCTGAGAGTAGCCTGGGGACGAGGCTATACAGATCGACGCCATGTTGGTTTTGRCTTTGACCATAATATGAAGTTTTGAGAACAAACTGAAATTCGTACCACCATTACATCTCTCAGATTTTTTGAAGCTGCAAATATCAGAAATAAACGCTGACCTTTATTGGTACTTTAGTGGATAGGTACCTGGGACCCGCCATTATAACGGTTAAAGAGACCATGTCAAAAAACATTCAAGTTTCCATTGACTGAAATGCCAGGYTAATGCACAGGAAATTCAATCAAAGTGCGCATGCTTTCTTTAGAATGATACGCTAATCCTGTGCTTTTGCAATCATTAATAGACTGAATTAATTTTTCTATTGWTCCATTGACATAATTTTTGGGGGATAAAAGGGTCGAAAAGGCATCTCGTTTGTTCTCATCATTCAGACGCACGGATAATAGAATTTATTTGTTAATTAATAAATTGCACCATTTTTGACCAATCAGATTTCATGATTTGCTGGTGATTTCAAAATGAATGCAATGAATCAATAAATGCAGATATTCACATTCTCTGTAATAGGACACGTGCAAGTTCCGTTTAACCCAGGAGGTCC